TATATATATATATATATATATATATATATATATATATATATATATATATATATATATATATATATATATATATATATATATATATATATATTGAGCCACGTAACACACAAATTTCCAAATTCTAATCAGTTTTTGTTTTAACTAACTTTGACACAAGGCTTGTGTTGGTTAGTAAGTAAAATATTTTGTGGTTTCAAGTCCATATGCGCTACATTCATTGCTCGCATATACTGGATTGCCGAGGCTAATTGACGAAAAAAACGACGCGTGACAGCTTCTGGCACTGAACCATAATGTTTGATGAACGAACCCAAATCGCCACCACCACAGTATTCCATAATGAGATATATATTGTTCCGATCCCATTGAAAATCATACAAACGAACTATATTTCTGAATATTTATAAACATTTCGGAATCTCTAAACGTTTTGCTTCATACATTATTCAACAGTAAATTCAACTTTTTTTGCTACCTTGGACCCTCACAATTTCACTTTTCTTCAACAGAAATGGGGGAAAACTATTATCTCTTTGGATTAGTCTTTTCAATCTGAACCAAAAATATGAAGGAATGCCTGTGTTTTAAATTTTTTAAGATCCTTATTTCCGAAACGACACAATCAGAGCTGAGTTTTGAAGCATTTGCAGCCTGCATACTCATAACTTTAACTGCTACAGTGGTGCGCACACCATTATTGTCAGGAGACGCAGATACCGCTTTGAAAACGGAAGAGAATGTACCACTTCCAACTCTGCAGCAGAGTAAAAAAAAATGACAGGAAAGTGTAACTAACTGGAAAGTACAGGAACATTATAGGGCATTTTGACACAATTTGAAATCAATAAAATGCATTCTCAAATAAGAAGTCGAAAATGTAGGATAAGAGAGTATAAAATTCGTTACCTCTCACAAATACTGCATCCAGCAATGGTGCTTGGAATGTTGCACAACTGATTACTACCATTTGGCATAATTCAGCAATAATGTTAAGCTTTTTATGGTTAAAACATCTGAAACTAATAAAAGTCGACAACTTATACGCTTCCCAAGCTTCTAATTCAAATGGAACTAATTGAACAACAACATTTTATAAGCTGGGAAACTCACAGATTTATAAGCTAGAAAAGTCCTACAACTAGTATAAGTGGATGGCACGAGGAATGTGCATGATGTATTAAGGAAAAAAGGAGAAAACAATACTTTAATCCAGAAGTAAACATGATGGAATGTTTCAGTTTAATCAATGAGCAGATCTGTGGAAATATCAGAACCGATAAATCGACGCCATTCACGTATCTCCCATTATTTCACCCATGTCACAATAATGTCTAGATTCATCATCAGGCCATATCCTTATCAATTTCCTTCCTTAATTGTACTTATCCTGACATTAGCATCCCGAACTTCCATCCTGACCATACTAGCACAACTCCCCATCCCCCTCACTTCCCTGAATCTCTGCCACATCTTAAACGACTGCTACCAATGAAGCTTCAGCTTACAATGGTGACCATTACGTCACACCAGTTTACGTCACACCAGTTGCTTCGTTATGAAACATTGAAATCGCACTGGCAACAATGCTTGCAGGAATATGTGGACATGAAGGCCGTCTTTAACATCTATAAAAACAGGAAATGGAATGAAATGTATGAAGAGAGGGTATCTGGATTTGAAGCTCATTCTGGAAATGCAATAATGTCCGGTGTCAGCGACTGATTCTCTTCAACTGTCGCTCTTTATGCAAATGTTCTTTTTTTTCTTTGCAAATTATAATTCGTAGATGAATTAATGTTGCTTCGAAAGGTTTTCAGATAATGCTCACCTCGCAGCACTCTCTCATTTATATTTCACTGGAGCTAAACCAAAGAAATCAAATCTTAATTTTTTGATATTATAAGGAAAGGCATTTGAAATCAGTTCGCATCCGTTGTTATCAGCGATATAAAGGCAACTTGAATATAGCTCGATTACTGTGTAAGAGATTTATCAGTAATGGCAGTTCAGTAAAAAGCGCGAATGGGGCAGAGAATTCACCACAGATTGTTGAGTACAATACAACGCATCTTTTGCACTATTCAGTTTGGCGATGTGATGTTGCGCACGAATATGGTGTAATAAGTGCGAGGCCAGTGAAAAGAGTGTTAGTGTATGGTAGGCAGTCGACGACCTCCCGTATATTCCGATCTATTCAAAATCAAAATTGAAGCAGTAAACAGAATTGCATTTGCAGTTAGCAAGCGTGCTTGAGGATGCGAGAGGTAAAGAGGGAAATGAGATAAACATTTCAGGGTCATTGCGGAACATATTCCTTGAAGATTAGCACGAGTAGAGAAGACTGGATGGTTGTATGAAACGGATATCTCCATTTTTCTAGTCCTATTCGGGTTGTATGTTGCGTTTGGGTAGTATTTCAGTAGATACCGGAAATGTGACTCTAACTTGGCTGAACATTGGGTCACCTACAAGGTTGGGTTCATTTTGCTTGACTTCCCAAAGCACTGCTTGCCCAGTGCAGTGAAATCCCTTATTTTAACCCATATGGTATCATACACGATGATAAGATGTCCTTTCTCTCTCTAAACAGAGACAGGCGTTCGCAGATTTAAAAAAAATGGAGAAACATGTTCAAGTTATCTTATGGTGTTGTGCCACTATGATCTGATTTCCAAATTTGCACTTTGCTGATATGTTACTTGAAGTTACCTACTTATCATTCGATGGGAATAACGCTCTCTGAATCAAAACGGATCCCATGTGCCTCTCGTAATTTGCGTCTCTGTTTGCCAAATGGCAACTTGGGAACTTCATATAGCAGTTAGTGCTGGTTGTTTATTCGGCATTTTTTGTTTTTTTAATAGCGATAGTTTGTGTGGCAAAACCTTTGTAATATATTTTCCTTTTTTAACACTTATTCGAGAGCTGATTCAGTTCATTTTTCTACAACCCAAAAATCTGGCCACTCTATCTCACCGATATGCCTTTTCTTTCCAGTATTCACAACTACCAGGAATATTACGAGTGTTTTTGGTCATATATAAATTAAAACTAGACTGTGCTGCATAATTCAAATTAGTAAAGAAAGTACGAACTCTTTTATTAAACTAGAAACGTCAACCATTTCCCTGTTTTGTAAAATATGAAAAACCAGTTTTGTCGTAACCCCACTCGTAATTATCCGCAGCTGCTCTGTCAAAAATATGAGAGAAATAAAACCTTCAAAGGACATTCGAATTCCCACGTACCACATAAAGGTAAGGAACACTGATAGCTTTTACATTCAATTTTCGATTTCAAGAAATGGAAGGAATCCATATCCAGAAATTTCCGATCAGGAATATTTTCGTCGAGCTTTAGTAATGATCAAAAAACTAATTGATTGAGAAATTTTCTTTGGGAGATGAAATGTAAAAGCGTCAGCAGTTTACTGAAGGGTGATCAGAGCCATGAGTTCAATCACCAACCTTCTATAAATCGGTCTTTTCCAGTCACTTTTGAATATCTTGAAGTTGACATAAGTGTTTCTTACCTCATTTAATTACCGAACTAGAAGCAATGATACTGCGAATTGCTTCCAGATATACTTAAGTTCTGCAATTAAGTAAGAAACAGCTGATGGAATGCAAGAAAAAGGGGAAGTGAAGGTAGTCAGCAAGTACCCAGAGCACTTGATAGTGCGAAATAATATCACTGGTAACCGAGGTTCAATAGACCATTATATATTTAACACGAATGTTATATTCGAAACATCTCGCCGGATGTTAGAGAAGGAAATTATTAGTACAGTTCTGATAACACAATGAATCGATCAGGGTCACCCAGTTATGATGACATTATTATGACCCTATGAAGTGAATTAGTAAGCTACTCATTCAGTATCAAGAATTATAAACAGCGTAAAAAAATAATGCGAGAAAAGTAATCAGATTAGGTCGTGCTCCATCAATTTGAGAAAAAAATGACTACTGAGTGTCATTAAAAGCATGAGTTCAAGTTCAAGTTATATATTTCAAGGTGCGCAAGGTGTCTCATCTTTCCCCATTCCCTCTTCCTACATCATAGAAATGTAAATAAATAAAAGATACAGGTAGTTTAGTAGATTCTTTATTTATGTTATACTGGAGAGTTGCAAGAGTGTGAGTTGCGCTTGCGCCTTCCAATAATATCATGCAGCATTGGAAGCAACCATATCGCTTGTCGGTGCAGTAAGCTAACTTGTTTCTTACAGTCATGTCTAGGAAGAACATGCAGAACGTCTTCATAGAAAAATATTCTCGGCCGGGCAGTATTATCGATTGGGTGTTGTTCAGGAACCGAAATAAGTAAGAACAAGATAGGACTAGATTGTTCGCTTAGCATTTGTTGTAAATGGCTATTCTGAAAGAATAGTTGGGAGGGTTGTCAGGAGATGGAAGATGGATGACAGTTGTGATGTCAAGCAAATTTTGCTAGTCCATTGTTGGGGTCAACATAACATGCTTTTAACTTGCATTTCTAACTCGTCAGTGCGCTCCGGCTGATGACAAGTGGAGACAAAAGGGGGGATACCGCTGTAATACCAATCGCGTTTGAGTATTGAAGCTTTATGGAAAGAAGCAGGAGGAGTGGATGGGCAAGTCTAGTTAGGTCCCCCGATATTGCTTAAAGTCCCACCTCCATACTATTTATATACAAGGAGGAGACAATGCAGGCTCGTCGGACCAGGTGATTTATTACGTCCATACAGGCGTGTCACCTTTGTTTCTTACAAAAGAAAATGACGGCGCTAACTGCTTCTTTGTTATCTTCTTCATCTGAATCCTCTCCATCTTCCTTACTCTTTCATTGTTTTCCTCATTGCATCTGGTATGATTAGGGCGTAGCTCTCGCAAAATATTCTCAATTTATCCATCTAGATTCGTGGTATAAGAATTGTAGGGACAAAGGAAGATAAAAGGGAAGCAATTGGAATACGGGGAAGAGGTGGGGAAGGTGTCTGAATGCGATATACAGGATAATATACATCGTATCTAGTACTCTTTCGTTTGTTTCAGGTTTAAGTTTGATCAAGAAATGTTCGAAGAAAGATAAAGCAGATAGGATGCAAGCGCAGAGTGATAGAAATTCTGATAACGGTGCTTATACTATCAGCAATGATCCGAATGGGGATAACGTGGGAAGCTCTGATGAGGTCGCACGTTGCCGTTGATTCCGTTTACATGCATAATTTAACACTGAAACAGACTGTATCCGTGCATCTCATTCATCAATCTCCTAATGAAACACTTAACGGATGGGTTTTCATTTCAGAAATTTGTATGAAACTCCCAATGTGCGATCACTCAGCACATCAACAACAGTTTTCTGTCTCTTGTCGTCTTTTTGCTGAGCAACTTTTGAGAAATTTAGTGGGGAAATAATTTCCTGGCTCACTTCATTTCTCATTTGCGGAGGCTTAATCAGCGGATGAATAAAATAAAACAGTCTTACGCCAACTTTATGAGCATCTACCAAATGACGTAAACTCAATAGCTTATGACTTGCAGCCTTGCAATTACCAGGAGCCAAGTTTCACTGGAAGATGGTACGGTTCTGTGGTCTTTGATATATTGAATAGAAACTTTTCTTAGTTGACAGTCTTGCACTCTCTAAAGTATTCGTCTTCAATAGTTTCAAAAACATGTGTCGAGCTTTTTGAACATGCTACCGTTCTCGATGATTCATGCCATTTCTAGAATGAAGAATGCAGCTCGGCTTCCCTCGTTGAAGAACTGGAAAAGAAGTATTTATGTGATGTGGACATCGATGAATCGATTATCCTTCTGAAGTCCATGGTTAGTATTCCGAAACGGATATATTTTTATTTAATTACCGTGACTGTTGGCTATAAAAAGGCAGAAGTTTAATCAATTGGTTAGTTGAATTTATCTAGTAATTCGTTTACTTTGCTTTTTTGGACTTTTCACGCACTTCCTGAAGTCATCATTATATAAAATTCAGAAGTAGAATGTTTGTGCTCACTTTCCACCCAAATTTAGACAGGTACAAGTCCATGTAAGCTGGCTAGTGAACATACTCTTTTGCTGCTTGTACTCAATCACAAATACATTGATCGAATCGGTGATAAGGTTCAATTTCTGTCAATCTGCAGATATGCTCGTGAGGTAAGTCACAGCTCAGATTCCTTGTCAATGATTCCACTAACTAGGATTTAAATTTTTCTTTGCTCTTCATTTACATATTTAGGTAGATTTGGCTTGGAACAGGATCTCATCATGGGAAGAAATCACTGCCATTTTTTCTTTACCCAGACTGGAGGTATTAAACTTGGGATATAATCCACTACAGTCATCTTTGACAGTATCAAGCTTTCCACTTGCCGTGAATTTGGAGTTATTTATATTAAATGGAACGGATTTACCGATGTCAACAGTGCGGAAATTGTTAAATAAAATGCCGAAATTGAAAGAATTACATCTGTCAGAAAACAGGTACCATGTTACTTCATTTCTTCGGTATTACTGGTGCTTTTTTACAGCATTCTTTTGGCTGCCGTGTAATTACATTCAGAGTTTAAAGGAATGTCACAAATTTTTTCAGAAACCTAGAGAATCGTTTTGATGTTAACGACGAAGTCATGTCAGAATCATTGGAATCCTTGCATGTGAGCAGATGTGATATCGAGCAATGGGAAACAGTCACTTCTTTATGGAGGTTCTTTCCGAATTTGGTGTCGTTGTCTCTATGTGAAAATCCTATTCGCTGTTGTAAATTGGAAGTAGGTGTTTGCAAGTCTTTTTCTAATGCTGTGAAGCTCGTTCCGTGAAGATTAATGTGTTATAATGCGCCGAGTCTCATTTCCTATCGCGGAACACTCACATTTCAACAAACTCTTTTCTTCTGTAGGCCCAAAAAGATCTTCAACAAGGAAGGCTTGTCCGGAGCACTCACAAGGGATAAAGTGTAACGTGCACAAAGGTGCAAAATGTTCAAACCTATAGGTTAATTAACCACAGCTCGTTTAAGCTCCTTTTTTGGAATCTGGAAACTCCTTTTTTCTCTATCTTCCAAGTGACGGTATTACTAACTACTCTGCACTGATTTATATGTATATATATATATATATATGTATATATATATATATATATATATATATATATATATTATTTATTTTATTA